TACTACTTTTAAATGGTAAGTAGTATAAAGTATTAAATACAAAATATGAAAAGGATTAGTACAAACAGAGAGGCTAATTTATGCGGTATAAACGATTAAATGGATGAGTTTGTTCCTTAACTATACAAAAAGGTGTTCGTCTTTCAACGTGTACCTTCCTAGCATACACTCACATATACATAATAGACTACTACCTTATTAACTACTTCCACTGCTAGTTCATCTTTGCATAACGTGACTGAAGTATGTGAAGGGAACGTCAAATAATGTGCTCTCATTTTTCCTTTACTCAGGTTAATCCTTTGGAAACTGTGACGGTTATTAAAACAAAACCTGGTGTGAAAGTTCATGTTCTTAGTTGATTTATTAGGCAGGTGGATTGCCAAACGACGTCTGACTGATACGTTCTGAGGTAGTATTTAACACTAACCGACATCAGTTGGAAAGCCACTGCAAACTTTGGTTGTTTTGTCCTAGTATGGAACTCAGCGGTCGTAGATTACCACGACCCCTTCATGGATCGTACTCAGGATATTCAGGTTTCATGGAGAACGTGTTAGTCACCTAGCCACAATGTCAGAGTTCAATGGTTAACAGTTCCCTACTTTTGTGAATATGCGATATATCGTGACTATTCACTATGTATTAGTTTTTGGAAAACTGATCGCTTAATTTTTTCTTTGTGTTAGTTGAGGCACAAACATAACTATCCTTAACATATGAGTTAGCTAAGTCTGGTCAATTTACATAAATAAACTGCAGTGAATCCTAAGGTAGTATTCATTGCAGACTGATATTACTTGGATAAACTCTGAAAACCTGGGAGCTGTTTCATCCTGATATTGGAACCATCTCCAATGCGCATCCATGACCTCACCATGTAGTGAACCCAAGACAGTAATATCTTCCGGCAAAAGGGTCACTTTCCAGCCATTTGATTGGATTCTATTTTCTCAATTTTCACTTATTCAAGCCTAACGAATATATCGTCATTATTGCTGACAGTCATAGTGTTTATAACAGCAGTGACAACAAAGTGGTCAGCTTTTCAACACTGAGAAATACAGAAGCAAATATAGACTGTTGCTGATAGGCTATAGTTTTCAGATGTGAAATATGCTTCACTGAGGTGTTTGACCGTTTGGTTTTATGGCATACTGTTATACCTGACCAGTTATGAGAAACAAAATGTGACAGTGATCGTCAGAAATTGTAGGACAATTATTAGCTGCTCAGATGATGAATGAGGCAGATTTTTCATTGAATTAGAGACTCAACAACCCTAATTTGGAATAGTGTCACAATAAGTGCGCTACTGCTGCCTATTTTTAATGCAAAATACCAATATGTTAATACTTATGTCAGTAAGTTACACTAACAGATAATGGCTTCGCACAGTACAGCCTTATCTTGGTTAAACCCCTTTTTCCCCACCAAAGTGAGGCATTTTCTTCCTTACTCCCATTCGAACTACAGATACTCCTCCAGTTCATTCTTCTCACATCTCTACACTAAATTTAGAATCATGCCTTCATCAGTTGGTCTGCCTACATTATTTAGAACAAATTTTTACCAAACCCAAGAATCTTATTTTATTGAATAGTCCTTAAACATATCTCTGGATGATATGGGAAATGTCTTTTCCCTTGACATGTCAAAGTATAATCCCAGTTTAAGTATTATGCATTTTCTGTCGGAATGAAATATGACTTAGCGACAGTGACAATTAGCAGAATTCATAATCCTATGAACACTGGACATTTCTCTTTCAAGATTATGATTGAAATAAGCAAAACAAGATAAAGTTTCGACATCAGTATTAAACAGTAAAAGATAAATAACTTTGTTCTCATTCTCCTCCTCACTCTTTCCACTTCTTCTAATCTCAGTGATATCTTGAAATCTATGTTAAAACATCATTTGTCAAAAATGAATAAATAATTCCATTTTTGTTCACTTGTCAATGTATGTTCATGGCAAATTCTTTTTCTGAAGTTTTAACATAGACAAAAGGAATTTCCTACTAACTTTTGTAACTTTTTCTGTTCACTTAACAATACATTTCCACCTTTTGATTTTCTTCAAGAAGAAAAAAAGCCAAAGCAGGAAAAGAATAGCTGGACGAAGTGATTTCTTTTTATTCCATTATCATTTTGCTAAATAGGTAAAATATTACAAAATCTAGTTGAACAATCAAGTCAAGGTCATTGTGAAGGGGTGCACACGCACATATATAACAGTCAATAAGAAAGTTTAAATTGAATGCTTTACAAACAAAAATCAATATTCATGTTCATGTGATGCATCCTACAAAATCTAGTTAAAGCGTAAATAAACACTAGGAAAATACAATACTGATCATGAGGAAAACAAAACCTTTGTTGCCTTATTTATTACTTTCCTATTCTAAAACTTTCGATTATGATTATTAGTGTTGTTATTAGTTATTTGTTTAAAATCGAAGACAAAGGATTAGTTGACTTTTCAAAACAGTTTGGAAAGTGAAGGAAAGTGTTTGCTTCGTAAAACACTACAAATCTTTCAGTATGACTATAATGATTAAGGTTGTCTACAGGTATTAGAAGTAATTTATCTTTTTCATTCCGGTGAACGTAGAATAAGATACCAGTTCATTTTCTCTCATAGTGAGGGATATACATATCTTTCGTGATATATATTGTATGCTTTAAAAGATATAGCAAAACTTGCAATATTTCATTATTATATAAGACGAGTTATCAGAGTTAGTTTGGGAAAGGAAAATAATAACTACACACAGATACACACGTTCCAACGAATTCTCCTCATTCAGGTATTTCACAGCTTTCATGGGAAATGTTGGTATAATTTGTAATGAGTAAATACATAATTTTTACCAAGGCTACCTTTTTGAGCATTTTACCGGCTGTTATTGATGATATTGATATATACGTGACCGTACTTTTGGCAATGAGGTACTCTTAGTCCAATCAAGGCAAGATTCATACAAATGTACTACATTCACTTTATGAATCAGACACTATAGTGAGTCAGCTTCCACGTAAGAAAATGTTAACCAGTTTTTAGTTACATTTAAATCACCGTAGTCCCTTGACTCAATTAATAGAGTGCCACACGTGCTTGAATTCCACTAAAGAAATTAGTTTTCGTTCCATTTACAACCACCAAAGATCTATATTGAGAACAACCTAGTAGTAGTAGTAGTAGTAGTAGTAGTAGTAGTAGTAGTAGTAGTAGTAGTAGCAGTAGTAGTAGTAGTAGTAGTAGCAGTAGTAGTCAAATCAGTGTATATAATTAATTTTCGATTGTTTTTATTGATTTCAGTATACTTTTCATCTGAGACTGATATCACTTGCAAAACCATTGAATGCCTGAAAAAACTGGACAGCTGTTTGAAGATTTTTCAACTGATATTTTTATAGAACCTTTTCAATCCATATATATTTATTTTTACTACCGAGACAGCGACTGTTTCGAAACCTGACATGATACATGTTTCGGTTGACACTTCAGTCACTACCCGTTGTTATAGATATATATACTTAATCAAGAAATTAGTTACAGTATGGTAACAAGTATTACTGTCAGTTCCTCATTGGTTGGAGGAATTTATCAATGAAGGCATACTTGTACGGCATTGTTTTACATCCCTGCGTCAAACATGCATTAAAATAAGCGTTATGAACTAATAAAGTACTCATGTAGTATAACCGTCGAATACGCTAACCGGTTTCCTACTTTAGTATTTCACAAGTGAGATTGGAAGAGAGTGGTAAAAACCAATGAATTAATTTGCTGTTAAAGATAATCAGCCATACCAGACAAAAAATAGCTGAGACTTAAAGCATCTCTTATGACATTCAGTAGACAGTCACAGACAGGGGGTGATTCAAGACCACCTCATCATTAGCAGATCGATTTACCATTTTAATAATACAAATGAGTAAAAAGTAGAAGGGTAAAATACTACCCAAAGGTCACTGGTGTGCGTCCCACCATGGTCCGGACTTTTATTTCACCTTCAATCATCAGTCGGTACCAATATTACTTCACTTTGATGCGTGGTTTTCTACGACTTAGTTGACTCTCTTAGATCCTGTCTTTGTGGTAACTTTTGAACAATCTTCTCTGAATGTCTGATTTGTCCAAACTGATATGGACTACAAGTGACTAGCAAGTGATCATAACTCTCAGTTTATCAGTATGACTGTCTAAGATAGTCGTGGTTTGACATACTGGTGGCATGATTCAAACCAGTGGCTTAGGGGGTTACCAGCTTGGTGTTCTAGCAACTTAGCTAAAAGACCTGTCTCCTGACTAGGTCTTAGCTTCACTTCAGTCACCAAGGTATTTCTTACCCAGTTGCCATGTGAATCTATGATGTGTTACAATGGGTTTAACTTAATCCCATTAGCTACAAAACAGGGCTGCCCAACTGTGGTGTTAACATGCTTTACGCTGAAAATCACCCTCCAGTCAAGATCACAAGGTGTGATCTCTTACACAAAAATGTCACAAAATAGCAAATGACAATACTAGTGAACAAAATGGATAGTTGAAAACCCTAGTCAGATCAGAGTAGCCCAAACACCAGACGGCTGTTTCGTTCGTCTGGAGCGAAGCCAGACCATTCGCAGCTAGTGAAATCTGCAGACTAGCCTGAGTGGTTTGTGACTACTTAATTTGTTCATTAGTAGCACATTTCAATAGTTAAAACCTGGTTGGCAGCTTGACTGCGTAGCTCAGCTGAAATATCTCCAGGCTGGTAAGCCGGAAGTCGATGTTTCGAATCCTGTTGCTACTCAGATTTTAATTTCATCTCCAGTCGTCACTCAGTATCAAATTTCAGCTTAGTTACAGAGTTAGTCTAACATTTAATTTTTAGATATGGTTAACGGATATTGTCAATTCACCCCATTCCCAATTTGACTTCCTATTATAAAGAAAACATCATAAGGGTGTTCTTTTTTCTTTTCAAATTTCAAAATTCACATTGGCAGAGAAAAGGCTGCACGTAAAAATGATCTGGATCGATTAGAAGGTGAACTTGAATCTCAGATTAAATCAATAGAAGAACGCGCCAAATCTGAAGTAAGACTGATTTATCGTGTTTTTTTTTTCTTTAAAAAAATCCCTAATCAAAGCGAAATTGGATAAAACGTTGGAAGAATGATTTTCAATGTGCCTAGCAACTACTATTACTACTCGTATGAACCATATTGATTTAGTTGGACTAGAAGCAAATTACGCATTTTTATGATTTTGGATAATTTATTGTAAAGTTTCCTAAAAGAAAGCTTTCCTATCAGCTGTTTCATATTAACAGGATGTTTGAAGTAGTGGGGAATATTTGTAGCTCAGGTGGATGGTCTTGGTAGTATTGTGTTTTCTAACAGTGTGTTTATCTGAAGCCTGACAGAAATGTATTCGGTTTCTTCAAACCATATTATCCAATCGGACACCAATAGGTAATCAGTGATTTATTTAGACCAAACTAATCGTTTACAAGTATTTAATCGATCGTCACAAATTAACACTTCATTAATTATTTATTAACATGGTTGACTACTTGTAAGTAGTCAAAATAGAAAAACAAAAGATACACGAAATTAAAGTGTCGGTGATATACTACTAGCCTGGGCGGACGCAAATGTTTACGCAGGCGATCATGACCACCTTTCCATTGAGCACACTATCCTTGTGATATATTTTAAGTATTTGTGCATTTTAAAACCAAAGTTATAAACTGACAAATACAGTAAAAACAGCAATGTGAATGGTGTCTAAAGTATGGGCGAACAACAAAAGATACGAATCACCTTAGCCTTCCATTTTCGCAATAAATATTGTGCATTTCTCATCAGACATAGAAGATCCACATAATGAAAAAGTAATTTGTAAGTATTATGTCCGAAGAAAAGAACTGGTCACACATCACGAAGAAGACAAACTTGTTAGGTTATGCTAGTCTCAAAGGCATTTATGCTAGCAAAAATTCAACCCACTGGGTCACCTAACACTGACTGCTACAAAATAGTTTTAGTTCAGGACTAAGGTCAAAACAGCAGACTATATTCATTCAATAAAGTTCAGAAGATCACTGAATAATCCTAATTTTTAAAATACTTCCTTTATGAAGCCAAGAAAAGAAACTGTTTTAATGCTGAAACCTCAGAGGAACTTGGGCATGACGACAGCGTATAATTTCAGGGTAATTTGTTGGTTGGATAATTCACACACTAAAATGGTATTATTTACTATGCATAACCACATCAAAAGTAACTTTACGATTTTGATACTACCTTTTTAGTTCTCTTTCATCTCCTTCCTTCTGGTGGAGGGGAAAAGAATTTTTCAGGTATCTGAAACAGGTGGTAAGCCATTCCCATAACATATGCTTGATGTTGACTCGATGAAAAAAGCTTCAGATATCTCCATCTCTCTTTCTCTGGCTATCCCCATCATAGTTATTTACTTTTAGGGGTATTCACTTCATCTCATCCTGTTTGTATGCACTGCTATAGCTCAGCTTTCTAATAGGTTACTAATCTTACTGGGATTCGCTACTCTCGATGTAGCTAAATTTTCATTCGCTGTTAATATAACAGCCTGCTCAACTAGTTTGACCTAATGTATTGATCTTACCATATTTGGTGTTTGTGTTACAACCTTTAGTTGTTTCTTCTAAGTTAATTGCTAAGTTAATGACTGAATAATAACAGTTGAAAGGCGATTTGTATATCTTTTTTCGTGTTACAGATATGAGTAACTTTAATGGCATCCTAGATACTGCTAAACTGACCGATCAGACTTCAGTATTTTGCTTGAGGAAGTACTTTTCCACAAAATAAAAGAATGAGATTGGCTACCTCATCAGTTGCTATGGTGGCCTTTAAAGTCGATTTAAAGGCTGCCACGGCAACAACTGAAATAACCAATCAAGCTTCTATATTTTGTGAAAATCTGGCATCTTTAAAGGCCACATTAACAGCTGCCAAAATAACCAATTAGGTTATGGTATTTTAGCTGGGACGACTATTTTTCATGGAATAGAGAAAAGCGATTAGTTTTTGTACCAGCAACTGATAGGACACCCATTTATATTCCTTTACTTTATGGAAAGGTACTTTTCCAGACGAAATATCGAAGTCTGATTGGTTTTTTCAGCAGTTGCTAAGACTGACTTTAGAGGTGACCCTAGCAACAAGTGAAATGACCAATTAGGTTACTTTATTTAGGCTAGAAAGGTAGATTTTCACAAATTACAGAGATCCGATTAGCTAATTCAGTTGTCGCTACGGTATCTTTAACGTCGCCCCCTAAATTGAATAACTTTGAAGGCCATCCTGGCAACTGTCGAAATAACCAATCAGGTCACGGTATTTCGGCTAGAAAGGGAGTTTTTCATAAAATTAAGGAGTAATTCATCTTGGCTGTTCCTAGGATGGCATTTAAATTCAGTCGTGAATGAGTGATTTTAAATCCACTACTTTAAAGACCACTCTAGCAACAACTGGGATAACCAATCAAACTTCTTTATTCTCGGAAAATCTGTATTTCCAGGACAAATGAAGAAACTTTATTGTTTATTTCGATCGTTGCAAGGGTGGCCTTTAAAGTCGCCCTTTATGGAAGCTAATATCAAAGCTCTGTCTTGCTACACATTAAGACTACTTCGCACCCCAGTGGCTACTCACCTACACTAACTAGTAAACTCAGAGTGACTTTAAGGGCAACTTTAAAGGTTCACCCTATCAACCGCCAAAATAACCAATCAGATTACGGTATTTCGGCTGGGGTAATTTTTCCGGGAATAGAGAAACTTTATTGGTTGAATCATCAGTTGCTAAGGTGACCTTTAAAGTCACTCGACTTTAAGTGTCACCCTAGCAACAAATGAAATAACCAATTAGACTTCTGTATTTTGTGACAACCTACCTTCGCTGGCGAAATGGAGAAATCTGATTGATTATTTCTATCTTTGCTAGGGTGACCTTAAATTTGGTTTAAACCCTTAAGAAATTGTAAGAAAAATAGGAATAGAAGTTGTAAAACACGTGTTAATAATAGTGATAATAATAACGGTGACACTGCGAATAGAGAATTCCAAATGACAACGGTGTTTTCATTACACAAGAAAGGCAACTCAGAAACACTACGAAGAATTCCTGGTAAAGTCAGGATTTGAATGGGATTTAAACCTACAACCTAAAAAGGAATTTTGTCTCGTGAACCCCTTACAGTGGTTGAGACTTCCAGCACATAGGTCATAGTAGTCAACTAGAGTCGGTCAATCAGGCTGTTGGATTACTAAAAGCAGGCCAAATCAAGATTGACAGACCCCAGTAAGATAAGGAATCTAGAAGTAAGCTAGGCTGTAGTTATGCATACGATTACACCTAACTACACCAAAGGATGGCGAAGACTGACTTAGCAAACTGAGGAAAGGATAGATTACTGAATATTCGTTTATCGAATCGGCATCTAACAAGTCCAACAGACATATGGAAATCTACTATTGGGCGGAGGAAGAATTATACAAAGTATGTCTCAAAGTTGTGCAGTGACCTTGATACGACTATGGACAATAAATTGCTTACCAAAATTACTCCAGTAAATATTACTGTTTCACTGCGTTATGCATCTGATTAACAAACTAGGATGAAATCCAATTAAAGGTTTTATGAAGAACCAAGGAAAACCTTGGGCCATTGGATGGGTGTTTTCCCCTTACACATGACTCCTCAGCAGTGCCCACCCACGACCCGACCCTCCAGGGATCGAACCTTAGACCTACTGGTCCCACTGAGAGCTACCAAGCCAGAATCCGATAGTTCATATTTTTCCACTCCTATCAATTCATGGTATAGCCCGATCTTCATCCAGTCCCGTCGCTCGGTAACGGTTATCCCATCCAACTTGATTCGCCTCGACTGTTGTAACTTATCATTAGAACTTTATGAAATCTCATCTCCAAGCAGTGAAAAACAGTCAAACTATGTAATGAAACTGATAGTTGTAAGAAAATATGGACCATCGAATTCCGACGTATTGGCTTAATGGTAACGTACTCGCTTGAATCGCAGGTCCAATCCCTGACGAGGTTATGCGTGTGTAGTGCTGAGGAGTCCGACACTAGGAAGGAACACCAGTTCAATGTCCTCTGATTTCCAGTGGTTCTCCAAGTGATATCAGTTCATGGTGAATGCCAACTGACCATGAAATCCTTTTTACTCTGTAATCCAACAACCACCATGTGTCCTTATATCTATGGTATAAAAGGAGACACTACAGAGTGCTACAAACCTTTATCAACCTCATTTAACAGCCATATGATGACGCCGCATGTCAAGCGATTCACAATGGAAAGCTCAGTGATGCCTTTGAAGCGAAGACAGGAGTAAGACAAGGTTGCCGCCTACTATCACCAATGATCTTCCTGATTGTGATCGACTGGACTGGATCATGCAAGAGAAGATGGGTATACGCAATTTGGCCGATGAAAAAACCCAAGAAGAAGATCTAGATTTCACCAATGATGATTTTTGTCTAATATTAAACAAACTCGAAGATCAAAAGGCAAAAACCAATTGATTGACAGAAGAGGCAGCGAAGACGGGACTTCCTTCAGGTGAACGTAGAGAAGACAGAGATGATGGAGATACCTAACCAACAACAGCAACAACGACAACAAGCACCAATCAACGTCAACGGGAGAAACCTAAAGGAAGTAGTCTCTTTCACCTACCCATCTGCCTAGGCAGCATTGTTTCAACCACAGGTGGCACAGATGAGGACATCAAAGCGAGCCAGAGTCGGAAACACAGCAAGACGTCTTCATTCATCAATCTGAAATCAGTGTGTAGGTCTACAGCACTCCACTGAGCATAAAGCGAGAACGAGATTCGGATTTTCAACACTTAGTTGGTCAAGTCAGTGCTTCTATGTGGTAGTTGAGAGACTTGGAGCGTTACGAAAAGTACTTCCAACAAACTAAAGACATACATCATCAACAGCTGCTGCCTACACTCACTCAATACTAAAGATCAGATCAGATGGCCAGAATAATAAGAATAGGCAACAAGGAACTCAGGCTTGCAACGAACCAATCAAGAACCCATCGCCTAACAAATATGTAGAAGAAAGTGGAGATGGATTGGATTGGACATAGACTTAGAAGACCATTCGGGGACATCATATGCCAGTCCAGGCCCTTGAGTGGTAGCCAAATTGGAAACGACGAGTTGAGCGCCGGAGGGTGACATGGAGGAGATGGTGTGAGGAAGAAATGAAAGGTTATGTGCAGTCGTGATGCCAGGTTGAAAAGACTGTAAAGAAGAGAGCGAAATGGCGACGTGCTACTGAAGTCTTATGTTCCACTAGGAACCCCAAGGATAAATAAAAATATGACAACAAATTAAAAGGAGAAGTAATCCAACTACAGAAACATAGTACGGGAGTTATGCAGTTATTTTCTACGAGATGGATAATAAATTGGGTTTTAAGAGTCATCTAGTTAGTAGTAGAGTTTTACTTTGTAAAATATCCAAAAAACTGATCAACAGTGAAATTAACTTTTTTTGTGGCTTTTATACTAAGATACTATTGATAAAATATCAGCTGTTGCAATTTTTCCTGCATAGTCTGTTGATAAATTCATCATTGGATGAAGCTTTTCAAGTTAGTATTCATCAGTGACTGACATCAGTCTGAGGAATAATTGAAACCTGGGATCACTGGATAGCTGTTTCGTCCTACTACGGAGCTCCTCAATAGTGCGCACCCACGACCGTGCCAAGGATCTTACCCGTGACCTTCAGGTTCCGTGGCCAGCACGTTACCGTTGAGCCACTGGGTGGGAACCCAAGGGTTAGAAATATGGTCCGCCGAACTCCAACCCAGTGGCTCAGTGTTATCGTGCTGGCCGGGGAACCTGAAGGTCACGGGTTCGCTTCCTGGCGTGGTCATGGGTGCGCACTACTGAGAAGTCCCATACTAGAACGAAACAGCTGTCCAGTGCTCCCAGGTTTCAATTATTCCTCCGACTGATGTCAGTCCATGGTCAATACCAACTTGAAATATCGCTAAATCCCCACAAACCCCCGAAATTCAACTGAAGCTCTTCAATTAATCAGCTTGTCAGAAATTGAATTTTTCTGTACACCAAAGTGAATTAATAAATAAAATAGCCGAGGGCGATAATTTTGTTGTCAATTCCCCTGTTTCAATAAAACGTTGATTTAAAGATGATCATGTCTGAAAGATTTTTGATACAGTGACCTTCAAATTCTCAACCTAGTGCCTCTTTAATTGATCTAAGAAGCAGAATGTGTTAATTTGAAATGTAAAGTTGATAGTTTATCATGAATGATGGTGTTGAAAGGGATGTTGATGAATATATCAATTGATGTATCTTGTGAAGTCCGTCTCTGACCAATTCGGTCACACGAACGACGGGAAATCATAACCTATAACGTCAAAACCATACCCATAACACAAGGAGTGACTATCGTGACTCCGTGTCCTAGGGGATACAACTCTAGCATCTGGATTGGTTTGTTCTGAGTTCAAGTCTTGGTGTGAACAATATTACTCACTGAGAGGCAGGTACATCCACCCAAGGAGTTCCATGTAGGACGAACAGCGCCTCTTGGATATCCCTGCTAGGTACTATCTATCAATAACATCAAACTTCTGAATTTTGAGAAGTTTAGTCAGTTTCATTTGTGTATTACTCTTTCACTGATCTATTTATCCAAATAGTGTCACCCTCTGTTACGTGTGTACTTAATTTGTACTCTACTTTTTGTTTTGTTTTTCTACTTGTTCACAGGTGCATCAGAAACTACAAAATGAGTACAGAGCACTTGTATGTAACAAAGAGCAAGAAATTACAGAGATTCGGGAACAAGTTGAGACATTAAGACGTGTAGGTGTTTCTTTCTTGTTTCTGTTGTTACACGTCTCGAATTCCGTAGAACTTGAAAAGTGATTAACTTGAGGCTTTGGCAGAGCGTACAAATTCCATTCTTTCTCAACACAAGAAAGTTATTCAAGTAGATTTTATGGCTTACACTAGTTGATAACTGATGAACACACGAAAGTTAGGCTGTTAGTTGGATTAAGGGAATCTGCACAGAGCTCTGATCGACTTAGGCTTCATGCTTTTTGGAGCTCATCAGCAAGATATATGGGCAACCTTTACAGAACTGACATCCTGCAAGAGATTCAAACCCATTCCATCGATTGCTGTAATCACAGGCATTACCAGTGAGCTGTTTAGGCCGCAACTAACCTCCTGCATGACTGAATTAGGTACACTTATTGACCACTAGAGGGTAACCAACTTCAGGTTATCTAGTCCTGTGCGCTGGTTGAATTCTACTTATCATTTTGAAATATGGTCACCCGGCTAGTAGGCTCAATATCGCGACGCACTTTGATAGACGTTAGTTGGATGGAAGCAATTGGCAGGAAGCCTTTGACCTATATTTTGTGGTTGTTGACATACATCAGCAAGGCGTATCTGCAGAACTCTACAGAACTGATGTCCCACTTAAGATTCTAGTACCAAAAGCACGAAACCCACATAGCAAAATGATCGACAGAATTCGATCAGTACATAGGACTAGACAACCTGAAGTCGGTTCACCTACAGCGACCAGCTAATGTAGGTCCTGATGAAGTTAGGTGGTTCAGTTTTTTAACTTAACCATTACATGAGGAAGCTGGCTATTGCGGTACAACTTTGTTATGAATATTACTTCCGTTTTTTCAATTGACAGGAGGTCTTGCATGACCTGAAACTCTCATCTGTTGGTAGTTTGAAGAAACGACCATCCGAAACCTCTAGACAACTCTAATCTAGGTCACACAGTGGAAAAGTCAGACGTTTACCGTCAGACTTTTCAGTCGATGAGAAACTTTCTATGTGAAATAGAGCTCTATATGTAAATTATTACTTTCTAACAAAAAATGTATATGCATGATGCAGTTCTATTAGGAATCATCAGCTTCATTGCTGACTGGGTTAGGTTAGAATCTGTTCGGAAGAAAGGACAACTAATCTACCTCCTACAACGTTAGCATACACACACTGATCTCACGTAGCCTCAGTTCTCAGTGAGCTGATATAGACTTATTAATTTTACTTTTTAAAATTCTAAATATCTACATTTTCTAAATGTCAAGCTTATTTTTTACTTCCCTAGAAAATTAATCACCACAGTACTGTTAGTTGTGATTCAATGAATACTTCAATTACAAGTAAAACGTGTACAGAGGTGATTGATACATCGAACTGTTACTATACACAGCCGAAGCCGTCTACAATCACATCAGATTATTATCATCAAAACAGAAATGAGGATGCAGAACAAAAATTGTATAAAATAGAATTGGAGAGTGTTTTATCCGCTTTGATTCAAAGAGAAGCAGAGTTGAGAACACTTAAAGATCAGCTGGCAAAACAAGAAGCCCAATTAACAATGTAATTATAGCTTCTATTGACTTTATTGTTAGTATTTTCACTAGTGAATTGATTATATGTATTGGTTACACAGAAGAGCTTCTTATGGCACCCTTAGATATGACAGATTTACACTGAAGGTTTACGACGTGTCGGGGTTCGAACAAACACTATACAGAACTCATAATTCAGTCAGGAGATAAAGCTATTAATGAACAGGAATCAAACAGATGTACCTATACCTCAATGGGACCCGCATCCACCACTCATCGCTTCAAACATCAGTGGAGACAACACCACTCATTGAGGTGCAGATACATTGGACTGACGAGTCTCAGACAGGGTGAAATGCTTGTTTTGGATTCCACTACTACCCACCAGCAAGCAAATTACAACATAAATGAATATTCAGGCATCTAGGCATCCTCAAAGAAGCCCAAATGCTATCACAGGTCAAACATTTGGATTATGCCAGGAATTCTTATATGAATGATAATAAGAGACTTTCAAGCTGCTATTCGTTGCATAAATATCCATGCTTCTGCGTATAGTTCCAGCAAGAATCAACACTTTGTCTGCATATTGGTGATTTTCACAGAAAACTAAGATCAAGACATCATTTGGTAGTGACTTACACCGTGGAGTTCAAGGTGATTTTCTCTTGATATCTCCAATGTCATCAACTGACAGTGCATTAAGTTTTCCTGCTGATTCACAGGAAATTTGAATCTGAAATCTAGTCTTTCAAATTCCAGAGTATTATCCATTAGTTCAAATCAAGTGAGCAGTCTCCTATACCTGACGGATGAAGCACCAGTCCTTTCATGTTTTCAGAAATGCCTTGCTAACTGTCAAATGCAAGCAAGCGTAAACTTGAAGTCCAAGACTTTTAGTACAACACCAAAATGGATCACTCATCTGATAATGAGTGTCTTCATTTTTGACTGTGAACCACTTTCAGATTTACCAAAAACGGTATCTCACTTCTAGTCTGCGTATATCTACGTCTAAACTTGGCAAACCATTTTTTGTCAAAGATGGGAAAGAAGTTGTACCGAGTTGTAAGAGGCTTCAGAGTGACCAAAATAAGACGTAAAGCCAGAAGCCCTTGACTGTTGGTCTGGGCTATGTAGAATAGTGTTGTCTACCTAACTGAGGTCCCCAACATGACAAGAATCGGTAATTGAGAACTCTTAGTGATATGGCTAAAATTCGGTCACCCTAGCGTAGATGTATTCACTTGCTGACATCTTCTAACGCTTCAGTATTTGCAGCAATCTTTATCTTCAAGTTGTTTATTGCGCAAGGCAACTTTGTCTCTTTCAATATCACTCCTATACTATCCACCTGTTCCTTGTATACTACAGTGAAACGCGGCAACTTGAACTGATGTACTTTTGTACAAGGTTCTACGTTGATTTTTTTCTGTCTGTCTAAAGTGATACGAAGTAATGAGTCACAGAAAGTTTTCAGTTTGTTTTTACTCCAAGAGTTATGACTGAGAAGTTTGTATGAGCGAATTATTGGCAAACACTTTTTTCAATGAATGTAGCTGATATTAAACCAGTAAACATCTTTACTCATAGAAATCTATCAGCAGTGGTTTAAGTAAAACCCTTTGGACAATTTGATTTTCATATTTAGCTGTGAAGAAAACTTTTGGCCGGCAGTCCTTAACTAACACCACAGTGGTGTATTTTGATATAAATGACGAGGAAATCTTTTCATACGTTTGTGAACACTGGTTTCCCACTTAATGATCAGTAGATTAAACATTCAAGTATGGAATATTAGTGTATTGAAGAACTTGAGAATACATATTGATAAACGTTGTTTTCAGAACTGAGAAAATCAAATCGAAATTCAGTCCACAATGACATCCATGTGCTAGCAACAGACAATAAGTCACATGTGTTTTGTAGCGACTAGCGATACAACTTGTCTGTGTAAACCTCGATAAGCGGAGTGGGATTCGAAACATCACTTCATTGGCTGAAAGTCGATTGGCGGAACCAGTGAGATAGATTTCTCAGGAATTAGTCATTGGAATAGATGTGAAAGTGTTACTGTCCACAAAATAATGCCTTGGGATGAAGCATTTGAAGTTTGGAACCTTATGGCTTTCATCTGTTAGCCTATAGGGTTCCCTATAGGGATACCTGTGAAGCGACAGGTAGTAACTTTCAATCTTGCCTTGACATTTTTACGCAGTTTAATATTGCTGAACTTCATTCACTAGTCGTTTGTCTTTCTTGATATGATAGACATGAAATATTACACACATACTTATATTTTTCTATTTTTCAATATTTAATTTCAAGAGATAAGCGTGAATTAATCAATCAGGAAGAAGAGAAACAAAATCTATATTCCCAGTTGAATGTTATGAGGTAAGTGATAATTGTCTTTCGTGATTAACTGAATCCAATATCTCCTTCGCTTTATCCGTACTGCAAGCTTCATCTACTCCAAACTGCTCAGCTGGACATAACTTTAAGTGAAGATAAATAGCACTAAGAATATTATAGACTTATTAGTGATGAATGATGGCTAGCAGTGGAATCTAGGACGCACGTTTCGCTCCGCACGGGACTCGTCAGCTTGATGTACCTACCTCCCAGTAAGTGATATTGTTCCCTCCAGAACTCGTACCTAAGACCAATCGCTTCAAGCATCAAAGCGCTATCTACCGCGTCACTGAGTCATGAGAGCCACTCCTTATGAGATGGACATAGCATAGTCTTTGATTTTATAGCCTGTGAATCTCCGTTTGGACCGAAATGATCGACCACTATTGGAACATGGAGATTTACAATCTGTAACATTAAAGGTTATAACAAGCCCACTGGACAAGGAGTGACTATCTTGACTGGTGTTTGAAATGAACGATCTTGGGTCCGAGTCTTTGTAGGAAGACTATCACTCACTGGTTGGAGGGGGGAACGACATCCCTCTGACTAGTCTCAAGTATGATGAAACGTCCAACCTGGATTCCGCTGTTAACTAATACCCATCAATAATATCAAAACTGTAAATAGAAACAGTATCGGGGATCCGTACAGGAGTCCTATGAAAATTTGATACAATCAACGACGGAGATTTAAAATCTATGACATCAAAAAGTAACATAGATTTATGCCTACAAATAAGAAGTGACTGGAGAGAAAAATGATGTGATCACTTGAGAGGAAACTGTACAAACTACCAAGAAAGCAATTAATGGACCCTGTTCTCATGTTTATATAGTATCTAGATACTCAATGGGCTCATCAGCTCACAACATCATATTCAGGGATATGACACACTTCCGATTTACCCAGTTGGCTTATAAATGCAGAGATAGCTATATTACCACTGAAGTGCTGTCAAGCTACCACCTAACTTGACCGTCAATAATAATTAAGTGAACAAGATGGCTGTCCAATTCTTAGGTCAGTTTTATCAACCTATAAGGCAAAGCAATAAACTCTGAACTACTCATGTGATTTAGTAGTATATGTATTTACTTTCATCTGTTTCCGAGAACAAATAGTTCTCACTTGAAATGACGTAAAAGATTTGTAGCTCAGGATGAGGATGATGTGGGCTTTGATATTTTGTTGTGAACGTTTCATCATCAGATTTGGTGATATCTTCAGCGTCTTCAACTTCTTTATGAAGTTAGTCCTGTAAATGTCATCAAGCCTGGTGATGAAACTTTTATGACGAAATATCAAAGCTCATAGAACATTAAACCATCATCAGTTCACACTTGATTATTTACCAATTAAAGAAAACTGTACAATATCAACATGGTTTAAACATGTAGAAAAAGGAGTCCATGGAAATTATTAAAAGCTATATAAAACCAAATAACTGCTAGGCGTTTTGCTTCAAAGAGAAAAAAAACATTTAACGGATAAAATAAGATGTTGACATATGAAAAAAGAAGGTTGTTTAACATTTACAAGAAATGATAAATTCGGGTGTTCTACTGGGTTATTGAAACACTGATAAACACACTAATCCATATGCAAGATCTGTCTTTACAAAGGAATTCGTTTCTTTAATTAGTTGCTCGCTGAGGTAATGTGTAGCCTCCACTCTTGGCAGGTTGAATGGTGATAGGATATTGCAGTGAAATGTTATGTGGTTGAAAGTAATGAACAGAACATCATCCATTTGGGTTTCTTCCTGGCTATACTTTATTATGAGTGAAGTTTCCGAACAACAAAAATTCTCATTCACACTTGTTAGTATACGATGATAACGTATGATCAAGATAGTACAAAACTGAACAATTAGTTTCTTATCAGACACTTTGATACAACCAACAAATATCACTTTAATTGTTAGGTATTCTTTGTGAACTCTACACATCTCATGACAGGTGTCTCATGAAATACCATGTAGGATTTAACTGTATCTACATTACTTTGATGTGTTTGGCAAATAACGACAAATTACACTTCTTTTCATTTAGGAAGACCAGATATTCCACAACTCCTAGACTAGATTACATACAAATGTTATTCCTTCATCGGTTATAAAGCTTATTTATTAATAGTCATTCACCAGTACTTATTCTCTGCTAACAGAGGACCTGGCATGCCCTACAAGGTTACATCCAACCGGCAGGCAGCTCTTGATCTGGCAGATGTGTTGATACTCACGTATAGTTGAATGATCCAGTGTATCAGTTCAGTTAATGTCATTCAAGCATGGACGGATGATATGTAGCAATGAGTTACTCAAGGTCAGCCATTCTCGTTTAGGCGAGTGGAAATCTACTCTTTTCGATTTCATCGTATTCACGAGCGAATTGAAACCGTTATCAAATTTCTCAAGCATTTATGAAGTTAACCAATTATGCCAGCAAAACAGCAACATGAAAATGTATGCCTATTTTGAATCGTGATCGGAGACCGTGACAGACGAAACAGAGCGTACTGTGTGTAATATGTGTTCATTACTACAGAAATTGCCTACTATGTAACTACGAGTATCAGAAAATTGGATGGTTGTTTAGCTATATCGTGAACTGGCAGCAGTAGGAAAATATGGACCGTTTGACTCCGATCCAGCGGTTGAATGGCTATGTGTTCTCTGAGAAGCCTAAAGGTTCTGGAGTCCATCTGTCGAGTCCTACACCAGGACGAAACAGCTACCCATTGTTCCATGGTTTTCAGTGGTTCCCCAAATTATGCATATTACCTTAAAATATCTGCCTACTTCTCATAGATTATTCATTTAATTTCGTATTACATTAAAAAAACCATTTTCAGTTTAATCACTTTTCCTATATTCATTTGACCAGAATTTATAACTTTTGTAAACTGACCATTTTAGAACAACAATGGAACGCTTGAATCAAACAAATGATTATCTGTGTACAGCTCTACATCATGGGTCATTTAGCCGTAGGAGTAGAAATTCACCATCCTGTGCCTTTTCCGAGTTTATGGTAAGTATAACTAATATGATTGTTCAAAATTTAATTTATCTGTCAAATAAGTGTGATAGGTTGGCAAATGTCTACACCTCAGGCTTTCTGTGTTCTAGTAGTTTGCTACTTTCCCAGTTTGTATTTGCATCAATGTGGCCGGCAATGTCAGTCCAGACATTCGCTTTATTTCTGCCCCACAAAAAAAAAGTGATTTGGAAGCTCTTTCATGACAAACAGAAGCTACAAGGATAGTCATCGGAGAAATAAACACAGTCGATTAATCACACCTGTCAACAGATGGTGAAGATGTTATTTAAAGTTTGGAAATTGTTAAACACATAAACACATAATTGGTGAACTGAGCTTTGTATGCGAAAAGAAATTGTTCAACCTCTTCACGATTCATGATCTTAATTTTCAATCTTTGTAGTCACCTCTTTTCTTTCTACTCTGTTCATCTTTTACATAATTTAATATTCATTCTTGTTTCTATGTTCATTTTGATGATCACACTTCAGTTTTAAAGTGTTCTGTCTTGTTACAAAACTTCTTATCCAGACTTAATTATCTCTCCACAACTCTCGTCATATTCTGATTAATCTTCTCTGCTGATGGCAAATTTTCATCTCAATTGACAGCTCATGTATTTTTTGCCATATATTCCGTGGACATGCTTTTTGACAAACCACTTTTAACTATCAAACTGCTAACAAAGGAAAAAGAATGCATAAATTTGTGATTGTGCAGCTTTGAGAATAAAATCACCGAGAAGTGACTCCACTGAAATAATTATTCTTCTTTTTTGTCTTGATGAACATCTTTCTCACATTGAATATCATATCAGAATTACAATGAAGTCATAAGTTGTGGAATTACGACGCCTCCAAGAAAGCCAAACTTAGACTATAATAAAATATCGGAGAGTTGGAAAAGATGTTAAGATATTTTACACAATATTACACCTAATAAATACGATTTCTCGAGATTTGTTTTTACACGTAACATAACATAACACTTAAGCAGTATTTTTGCGTGAACCGTTTGAAAATAAGGTTATATGGTGTACATATCTTTTATAACTAGTTGAACAACACATATATGCTGGCTACGGAACCTGAAGGTTCTTTGTTCGATTTTTGGAGGGGTAATGAGTACGCAGTGCTGAAGAGTCCCATACTTGGACGAAACAACTGTCAAGTGACCCCGGATTTCTAATATTCCTCCAACTGACATCAGTTCATGATTAGTACCAACTAGAAAACAAGATTTTTGTTGGAAACCAATAAACTTGGATGCGAAGCTGCAATCTGACCGCTTACATAGATCACAGACATATCTAATTATCCCATGAGAGACTTATGTACCAAAAATAACAAGCTTTATTTCAAGTTCACTGTTCTCCTGCATAGCAACAGTTATGCAGGAGATAAACTTAGTAGACATGAGGAATGTCGTCATCACCAGTACAGGTTGTAAGTAGTTTTCAAGATGTCTATCCTACTTACGGCTTGTCAATCTATTCAGTTGATCTGACCAACTCAGATGAAAAGGGAGAATTAGTTTAGATACCTAGCTAATCAGTTTGGTCTGGAGTAACCTGTACATCAGCATCGTAAGCTTTGAGATATTTAAGTGTTTCAATTAGAATGACTTCCTAGTTGATTCATATATACACCATCTTCTCTATTCTTCTTCTTCCTTTCACAGGAACAGAGTGGTAAGTAAAGTCGAACATTTTATTACAGTCAACTTTTGTTGCTATTGTTCGCTCGATGATAATTTTCATATCGCAAACTTCTCTGATAGGTTCAAGAATGGTTCTAGCGTAGCTGTATATTCGGGAAAAATATCTTCACATAGGTTTGTTTGATCACTATCCAAGATCTCTAAGGAATGTTATTGAAAAAGAAGACAGGAATTCATAGCTTGATATGATGACACTAATACAGTGTCCGGAACTTGAAACGGGATATCACTTACCATCTCACTGTGGTCCACATGAAAGATAAGAATACGCAGAGGATCATGCTACAAAGGGAAGTCTCGAGTTACTTCTTGTGATGGGATCATCATTTGTTGAATTAATTATGCCACTACATCAAGTGGTACGCACATCCATTGCCTGATTATCTGCTTGGTAGATGTTGTGAATCATTCGCTTAGTGGAAAATACCTAGGCATTTAAAGCGAGAACTTCTGAGTTCAAGTTTCAGTAGTGATTTTATCACCCACTCAATTGCAGGAACACCTTAATGACGAGTTTCGAATAGGATGAAACGTGCCTACTGAAATCAACTGCTACCACCAAGCAAAGTATATTTAAGAAGTATATATAAGTGCCTAAAATAACTAATTCTCTCTCAATTCGGATTTTGTCCACAGCATATTTACTTGGTAAGTTAAAATATGTGGATGAAGACGAAGTAAGAGGTAATCATATAAGTATGTAAAATGGTAAATGACCTGAGTTGAAGACATTATACGGATCGATTCATAACAGCTTTGAATGAAATGTATCACTGTTCTGAGTTATACTATGTTAGGAACTTCAGTACATCAACAATCAAGTAAAAACTTAAGCACTTCAATACTTCATAAAAAGAAGATATAGGGTTATTATTTTGGATATTTAGTCAAACCACCAGATTTGGAAGACTTTCTGTTAAAAAAAATCAAGTATACTATGCACGTTTGTACCCGTCTTGCAAGCAGATGTCTTTTTCATTGGCTAAGATGCTATTTCTTTTCAATATTAGTACAAATACACAGTTAATTTTAGTACCTGACCTTATTTATTAGTTTACGAAATAGCTTAGTCGTTAAATCAAATGCAAGTTTGTGCTAATGGTCATTAATTGTATCTGAATGAGCAAGAAAGACGCGGGGCATCCAAGTTACAAATTTGTCTGTTAGGCGTCAATAGAATCCTAGATAAACACATCTGTTTCGTAGTAGCAAATGATGTGCATACCTCAGTGGTAACCACCTCTGACTCCAAAGCTCAGATGACTTTTCTGAAACCTAAGGAGTGGCAACAGTGTCATCTTCGCGGTTGTAAGACACTCTGATAGTGAGTGACAACAAGTGGGTCACCTAATTTCTCGACCTGACATCAGTTTTCCCTTAACAACCCACAACAAATAGAGTGTAGCAATATACCGAGTTACACAATTACCAAAATATAGACTGGATCAATGGTAATCGGTCATCACTAAGACTAAGAGGACGTAAACTGAATACTCTGAACTATGTATACTGTCTCTAATGTGTCCCTGAACCAGTTTTCATGTATTTTCCCATCTCGAATAATCAGCGTATAAAACGCTTAAGTCTTTGTCGAAATTTCATTCCTAAAGCACTATTCTATTGAATCACATTTACGGTTTAACAGATCTGATCACCTAGAATGCATGATGATATTTTATTGATGCTACGCAAATCACTGGCATACTTTCGTACACTTCCGAGAGAGGGGGACGACACCAGGTACCCCTAGTCGATGACTTCCACTCAGGACGAAAACTTGAGGCATAGATCCCGCTACTAAGCACTATTCATCCGTACTATCAAGATGAAAATACGGTCTACATAACGACATGGGAGCAGGAGTCGTTATGCCAACACTGTCGCATTGATTTGGCTTAGGCCAATTAGTAATAGGCAATAACAAGTTATAATACTGAACACATGTTTGTTCAAAAGGGTAGAAGTATGGACTGCACATTTTTAAATAATATTTTTCTCACTATATTTTGTTACTTAGCGTAGAACAGGTATCGCTATCTACTCAAGAGGCCACAATAATATACGGTATCATCTAATGAGGCTAACTGCTACAGTTATTACAACTTGGAATTTCCCATCTTTTATTTCCAGAAAAGAGGTATTCAAAAAAGTTAGGACCAGCCAATGTCTTCTTATGTCGTGAAGGATGTGCATGGTCGAACTGGTTTCTATTAGTTGTTAACAGTGTAGTTGTCAAGTTGTCAGTACTGGGTGCCAGTTGAAGTATTCCCCGTGGAGGTTACGATGTAGCCGATAGCATAAGTAGCAGGACAATTTTATGCACAGTGTTTGAAGTTCGAAGCCAGTAGGTAAAAACAGCAGAATCTACATTTCATGTCTGTTGGTAATCACTGGAAAGGCGTATCTTCATCCTTGTGAAAACTGACTTTCCTTCGGTGGCCAGAGTCTGAACTCAACAGCACTGAAGTTTATCATATGTCAGCTTTGCAGTCATCTGGTTCATTTAGATAATTTTCTGAAAAGTCTGCTACATGGATGAAATCAGATGAAAGGACGCTGAAAGTCATAAAGCTGTCAACATTTGCTGTATTCTAGTTCCAGTTCTCGTCACCAGTTAGAATGCTTGGAAAACTGCTCTGAATTCCTTATTGACAAACGAGTTATGTCGAATCCCAAGTTTCTAATGGGTACTGCAGATACTAATTATCGTCATACTATAATCAAAGACTTATCTCAGGCTCATTAGAATGTGAAAGTAGTGAGTAGGATCCATGACTTTTGTTTCATAAATGTATAATATCTGTCTGATTGTGTGAGTGAGATTTACAGTCAGTTATGCGATGAAATAGATGGCCAATTTACAAATTATTTACAAATTTCACAGTCCACGTTAATATTTTTTACAGATGTATAACTTCACAATTATTCACATGTGATATCAGTAAGGTACCCGTTGACCTTCCCCAGATAAGGTTACAAGGTGCGACCTCTAGCACAAAATATTACAAACTAACGATACATGTTACTTGAAAATATGAGTCATTAGACAAATTCATATCGACCTGAACAGCGCAAGAAAATCTCAGTGCCTAGGTAGTGTGAGTGTGACTGGCTAAACTACTGATAAACTTGGCTCCAGACGAGTGAAATAGCCATTAGGTGTTTCTGTTACTCCAATCTACTTGATAAACTCTGAAGATCAGTTCAATTTGTTTAGCGGAATGTTTCACGAATAAACCCAGCAGTTGGATTTGGAAAATTTATAAACTTGTCTGTTGAGTTCGGTTTGTTTATTATTTTTTATCCTATTTCCTCGTTTAGGAATGACAATTTAGGGATTAATTGAATCCCTATTACTAGACGTTTACTTGGTAGCGTCTGGGACAGGAACTCAGAGCACATATTTGCTTTTATTTGAAGCTAATCGTTCTGATGTATCTCAGTGGTGTTTAAACTGAAAGCCAAGTTGAACGCCTATGGCTCAAAATACCAGAAACTTGTTCATTGGCTGGTTGAGATGCATTACGTTGATCCAGTGAAATAATCAGCAGAAAAATACAGTTATCCATAAATAATGACTGGTAAGGATCGTAACTCACCTACCGAATGGACATCGCTTTGGAACCTTATACAACCTGACCTGGCTTCCAGTTTCTGTTGGAATGTGGATATAAATGAAGTTACATTCAACTGATGAGTTTCAGTTGGATTGAAACAAGGATCCTAAATTCCCTTACTAGAGACTGTTGAGTAAACAGAGCAAATATGAAAGTTACTGCAATACGACAGCATCTATTAAAGTAGCCCATCTACCCTCTTAGAACTTGCTTTTCGGTCTAGTAAAGCGAGCAGTTTCGTGTCCAAATAAATACTATTAAAATTATCTCCATAGAACTCCCGTTACAATATGTGAGACAGTCCCCTGACGGTGTCATAAAGTATATTTTGAATATGAACTAAGATGACAGATATCTCAAGTGCCCCTTTTTACCTAGCAGTCCTCAATTTTTCCCATCTACCCTTCCTAATATCATTTGGACCTTTCGATACTTAAAGTATTTTTTTTAGACAGACAGCTATGAGGGATAAAACAACCTTCCAGTTTAGCCCTTTAAACTTTCTAACTGTTATGTAATGAGCACCAAAAGGTGTAATGTATCCAGCAGAACTTTACACAATCGCTGCAGGAACCCGTTTTCAACCAATAATCAGAAATACTGAAGGTTAAGGCTATGGATCACGGCTCTTTGTATTAGCAATTCATACATTTGTTGTATCATTACTGAAAGCTATGAGACGATAGGTCCCTAATCTTAAAAATTACACAACTTAAGCAGTAGCGTGACAGTAGCTGATTCTTACTTCTAAACACCAAGTGACACGGCTGTAACTAGGGTATAAACAATTTCGCTTATCAATGTCGTTTGTTACACAGTAATTTTGTCAAAACACTTGTTTGGCAAATAGATCATCAAGGTATCCTTCCACATCCTTCTTTCTGGCAGACTGCCACCAATTTCCAGATACTGGGTGTTGAAGAAGGTGAAATGGAAATTTGGACTGCAGCCGGCCTCGAACCATCGACCACTGGATTTCTGGCTCGATGCTCTGTCAAATGAGCTACTGAGTCGGGCAAATCGAGGGTTATTTCGGATAGTCAAACTGGTAACATTTCATTATCTCAATTTCCTTTATCATTGAGATCTGAGATCAGTCAGAGTTTAGTCACATCCAGAGTGACCTGCTTGTAGTGCCACTTGCTTAATACTTAGAGTGTGTTAGATAACCCTCGTGAATTGAGATTTGCATGTATGGTAGGTGCAGACACTAGCACACACACACGTACACATAAAACGACTGGTTAACTGCTTACGTCTAATGATCACTTCAAAACTGTCAAAGAAGGTCGAACATACCGATCATATCACAATAATATAGGAATAGCTGCATGTGCCATTTGAGTAAACGCTAAAACTGCATCTGCATCTACTCACAAGATAATATCAGCTATGGATTTCTTTTTTGAATTTCTAACATACTCATTTAGAGTTCTATTTCGTGTTTCTACTTCTTCAGATAACAACGAAGGTAATGCGCTTACTTTTAGACTGTCTTCTGGCAACACTTTTCCTCTTGAAGTGAGTTCTATCAATAAATAACCTTATTTCAGCATGGCTTTTAATAAAACGCTTTTCGAGTCACAAACCTTTTATTGGTGGTTTTTGGGGTAATGAATAATTTCGAAATAATTTTTCATCAGGGATCAACCTAGCTGGGGAAGTACTGAAAACCTGTGAGCTCTAGACAGCCGTTTCCTCCTGGTATGGGGTTCCTTGGCGGCACGCACCAATGATTTCATGAGGTGTGCGGTTCAGAATTACCAGGTCCCATAGTGAGCACGCTGTCATTCAACCAACAGGTTTAAATACGTCTTGTCAGTTTGTGATAAGGACTATCTTGAAATCAACTAATCCCCCCCCCCCAAAGAAACCCAAACTGAACTACTGTATAGCAGTCGTTAGTGACTAATGAGAAATCATGACTTGTGGGGTCGACGAAGTCGGATGTCAGAACGACATTGGATGATGGTCACGATATATCGCGAACTGACAGAAAAAGGAGAATAAGAGTTATTGCATTCCAGTCCAGAGGTTGAGTGAAAAGGTGATCGTCGAGAGACCTGGCGGTCCTAGATTTAATCCCCCCTTTGGTTTCCAGTGCGCAGTACTGAGGGGCCCCACAGTAGGACGAAGCAGGTGAGAGCGGCTCCCAGGTTTTCAAGGGTTCCTCAACTGAGGAATACCACTGTCTCTTTGTCCAAACAAACAGAGATACATATTTCTTTATCCTACAATATCACACTCTTGGTCTTGATACCAGTCACTAGGTATAAGAAACAAACAAGAGAGATGTATGTTTTCCAAACAAATAAGTTTCAAAGTTGACTTTTACTAGTAAAGTGGAACGGTTGTATATTATAAATGTGATTCGGCACTTGACCCTGAGCTAGAAATACAAAAGCTAGTACATCAAAACCGTACTATAGCCGTTGTGTGAGGAGTATCTGTTGTCACTCAGTGAACTCGTGGATAAAGCTGAGACATTCAAATAAAGGGTTCTGGGTGAGTCTCAGTGGGAATGAAATCACCCACTGCAGGGCATACACATCCAGCTGACGAGTCTCAAGTAGAAGGAAATGAGCGTCATGAATTCCACTTCTGGCCATTATCTGTCATTAATAAAAAGAAATACACTATTGAAGTATGTCCTTTGTGAGTATGCAGCTTAATGGTAGAGGCACTTAATTGGTGCTAGATATTTCAGTCAGAATTATAACTTTTCATATCCTTTATCTGCTACACAAGTCAGTCAAACGTATTTGCAATTTCGAAAAAGTTTATATACTATAAAAGGCTTGAATTTGCTTCACTCAGTAGCAAACTTTTCAATATTTCAAATAAACCGTTCATAAATGGCACTTTGACTGAGTGCTTCTTGATGATGTAGCTGTGATGACCATTATCATGCTTAACATGTGAGTACTGACTTTACTTACTTCATTTATAAGTAAAATGTGGTTAGTAAGCCAATTAGCACAATAGACCAGTGGACGTTTGTTGGCTTACCAGACCGTCGTGTCACTTAGATTAATGGCCACGATGAAAACCTAATCCACAGACTTCGATCAATACTGAGCACTTCGAGCTTGATAATTCCATCAGTTCCCATCCAGTGACCAATTCGTGTACATTCATTGATGCAGATAGGAACTGTTCAGTTGTTACTTGGTCACTAACTATAATTAAAACCCACTCCAGCTGCATTCATCTTGGTGAGATGAATGAAATTTAGAATTTACTTTTCTTCCCCTTTGGGATTCGTCAACTGGAAGCACCTGCACTTCAGGGAATGTTGGCATTCACAATGAGACTTGAATCCAGTAACCCTCCCTTAAATAGCAAGGCGTTATCTGCCAGGCACAATGACTGACTGACTGACAAAAAACCAAAGAAGAACCTCGCACACAGCCGCATCAGCCCAAGTTACCATACTTCACGGTAGTACATAAAGAACAGGTAGATAGAAAAGGAGTGATACCAAAGTACACAAAGTTGTGTGAGAGAATAAAATATTTGAAGATGAAGGTTGTTGCAAATACTCAAGCTTTGGAAGATGTCGAGGAGTAAATGCATCTGTGACACTATGACCGATTTTTAGCCATGTCAACAAGGGTTCTCAACCATTTATTTCTATCGTCTCGGGGACCCCAACCGGGCAGTCTACATCTTCCCACGCGATTCAGGAAAACAGGGATATCGTCGACTGGCGCTACGCCTTAGTCTGGCCAGCTGGAACCCCATTCCAACCTAAGTTAACTCTCCATAGCATGAGACGTTGAAGTAGGCCCAAGCACAATAAGTGGGCTAGTGGGTAACTGTTTGACATTTGAAGGGATGGGCATTGGATTCGAGTCTCAGTGGCAACACTATCATTCATTGGGGTAAACCCACATTCAGCTAATGAGTCACAAATAGGATAAAGTTTGCCTCTTGAATTCCACTGCTAGGTACCACTAAGTAAACTATAGTACAATGAATACTCAGGCAGTATGGAAGCATCCGCATAAAAACCTGTCTGCCAATAGAGGTCGAGGAATTCGCCCCTGTATAGCAATGGGAAATTACAAGTATCAAATAGCGACATATGTTACTTTATCTGGGTGGTCTAGTAGGTTCAGTGAGCATCAGAAACAATAGGGATTAATCAAAATCTAGTGCGTGACCAAAGTGTGTATTAACTAAAACCAATAACGTCACCATAGTTACACTAACTGTATCTTTGATAAATACAATAATGTCACTCTAAAAAGAAGACATTTGTAGCTCTCACGATAAAAAGATTTTCACATACAGCATAACATAGCCTTCTTGTTTATTTATTCAGTACAGTTATTTGCAAGCATGCATACACACATGTGAATAAATAAAAACACTAAGCGAAAAGTAAACAAGAAGAAAACCAAGTTATGTGATAATTTCCAAGTACCAATAGAATTCAGTTATTGCTAAATCAAATGTCACCAAAGTATTGAATTGCGTTGCTTATTAGCTTTGTTGATTCGTTTGTTTGACATCCTGTTCAACATGATGCTTAACTTGATTTTGTGAGCTTAGCATAAACAATGACAACAACCACTACTACTACTGTAGGAAACGAAAAGACTGAGAATTAGGAAGAAATGTTTACTATTGAGGTCTTGTACAGTAATCATCAAATATTGTACACTATCCACTAAAACAGTCATTCGCATAATGTATTTCATTTCCTCTTCTGTTTCTATCTTGATTTACTTTTAATATGCCCACATTATCTCTTGCATTCCTCTTGGCAAAATGTTTACCCATTGGTGGTAATTGCCTACGATCTCTGCTGCCCTCTCAACATATACTACTTATATCCATTCTGATCAGCAGGGCCCATTACACAACTACTACCACTACTTACGCTATTATTACTACTACCAGTACTCACACTACTACTACTACTACTACTACTCACACGACTAATATTATTTCTCACACTACTGCTAACCATGAATAAGAAAGATTATACAACTATTCTTTTATGTTAGGTTTCTTAGGATGTCTGTTCCTTATTTCTGATTGCTTTTTTAACTTTTTTGTACCAAGTAACTTCTCAGAACCCATTGTTTACGTACTATAAATTATGCAGCTTTAAAATAACAAGTGAAAGTCGCTTGATTTCGGCAAAAGTCTTCTCATATGCAAGGAAATATTAGGCTGTATAAGGCTGATTGAATCTTATTTATTGTAGTTCTGGGGCTAGGGGATTGGTCTGGAATTAACTAATTTTACTGAAGTCTTTAATCACTAACCGATATCAACCGAAAGAACAATGGAAAGCACGGAGCAGTGGAACTTCTCTGGAGTGCATATAGCTGAACCATGAACCATTAGTTGTCGTAGCCAGTCCATTGCTACTCATTCACAGCATGAACATAAAATAGACCAAGTTTTCGTGATACATTGCCACCATCATCTAGTGCTACTAATATGTATCCACCATTACACCCACAAATTCCAAGTTATTTTCTGTACGAAAAGTAACGATTATGAACAACGATTCAAGTTTCATTCGAGATTTGGCTATTAGTTGTGGCGAGTAGAGACCCTTGCCCTTGGACAACTTTCACATTACAGCTCAAGCAGAATCCCTATGTTTTAATTCCTTGACTTAATTAAAGCATTAAAACCACAGGTGACTGGTGTTTTATTTTCTATCCTGTCAAGGATTAAGCAAGATAGCTGATAATGGGCTCGGGATTTTTCATAAAACATCTGGTCAACTGTTTCCTCCAATAAACTATAACGTTTCTAGTGATTTTCTCTTTAGAGAAGGGCTTTATTAGTGGATTTTTACGTAAGGTAACCAGGATGCTGATCTTGGTAGCTTGTGCTGATAGCCTTGTGTATGATTGGTTGTTTCTGCCAAGGTCTTGTAGTTATCTCCGTGTTCATTTTGATTGGTCGTCCTGATGGCTTTAAAGTTGACCTTCTTATTGTTTCTTGTTGGTTGATAGATTGGATCAGTGTTAATATATCTGTTGACTGCCGACTGACCTGAACATCAAGCTTCTAAAAATTCTCTGGCATTCTTTGTATTTCCTCTATCCAGAATCTCTACATTTTCCTGGTCAAATTCATGTCCACATCTTTCTGTATGCGTTGATATTGTACCAAACAGATGTGGACATGAATTTGACCAGGAAAATGTAGAGATTCTGGATAGAGGAAATACAAAGAATGCCAGAGAATTTTTAGAAGCTTGATGTTCAGGTCAGTCGGCAGTCAACAGATATATTAACACTGATCCAATCTATCAACCAACAAGAAACAATAAGAAGGTCAACTTTAAAGCCATCAGGACGACCAATCAAAATGAACACGGAGATAACTACAAGACCTTGGCAGAAACAACCAATCATACACAAGGCTATCAGCACAAGCCACCAAGCTATTTGTGGAGCAAAACCCATAGCTCACTTCTTTCTGAAGTTTGTGCTGATGATGTTGTCTAGAATGACAATGAAAGCTCCACTATTAAATAATACAGCTCA